CATATCACTCTGTTAAGTAGGCTTGATAAATATAGTTATTCATACATCAATGAAGAACATACCAAATTGCAGAAAATTTAGGATGACCTGTCTTCAATCCAAAATTTTTATTTATCTCTTCCCATAGATATTTCTCTCTCAAATAAATTTTATTAGAAACTAGACTCAGAATGAAAGTATAAAAACTTAGTGTGAACCATAAAAAAATTCTGTTAAGAATAAAAATAAAATCATGACTTCATGGAAATAGTTTTCGTTGCAGAAAATAACATTTGCGCACCCTTCAATAAATTGATCAAATCTTTCAAACCACAAGGACTTTCTTGATGAAACTTTTTTTGTTTGAAATTAGACTCACTTATATGAGTTATAGTAAAATTTCAATAAGAAATAAAATTATATCACTAGTGGAAAAAATTACGAAACTCAATGGACAATTCCTGGATTTTGCAGGGTTAGAACTGACACCCTTCATTGATGATACCATAACTTTTAATTTCCTTCGGATCTCCCACTAAAATTTTACAAGTAGATCCTAATCTCAAATACACACAATATCCCTGAGTATGTAATAGAAAAATACATCATTATATTCTTCATATCACTGATCTAAAATAGCTCAGAATACCCATTCTGCAGAGTGCCTTTTTCGATATTTGAATATTTAAATTATTCTCAGCCGTGGGTGTATTACTTGTCCACAAAGGTTATTAGCTTTCTTATATCGCATTCTCAAGCTTGATCTAGACTCCATAAAGAGGAAAGATAACTAATGACATCAAGTATCAACGGCTCTGATACCAATGAAAGAAAGACTAGTGCGATCTTGCCTTTTATTTTTTTATTTTTATTTTATTTTTTCTACTTTTCACCCCTTTTCTTTTTCTTTTCTTTTTGTTTTTTTGGCAAGGATCACTTACAAGTAGTCTTATTACAATAACTCTTGCTTTAAAGGATATAAAAGTAACAAATCCAAGATTTTAAAAACCTTGATGTCATTAAACTAATTTTCTTTAAACAAATGAAATATCCACAATTCTTATGCTTGGGAATATAAAATTAATATAATTAAAAATAGCAAGAAACAAAAAGAAAGTACTAGAGATTATCTCAACTGGGCTTATTATACCTCACACCGAGTCACCACTATCCAACGGCGCGGGACCAATTATTAACCTTCAATCTCAACCGGAAAATCAAGTTTAGGACAAACCACACCAATGAAACATGAACCCATTTGATCACAAACTCAAACTCTAAGTGAATTCTCTTAACAATCTAGTTTGAGCGAGATGAATTTTCTTTTTGCTACACCTTAAGAGATGGGAGAGAGAATAACCCTATAACTTAAACCGCTAGGTTCTTTCACAATGTGGGAGAGAAAGAGAGATCTCAAAGATGGAAGAGTGGGACGTGCTCCCTTTTGGGCTTTCATGAGAGAGATAAACTTTTCTTAAGAGAGAGAGAAATTATGGGGCATGCCCCTTTGTAAGATATGAGAAAGATGAAATTAGGTATGAAAGACAAGGTGTAGAGATTTTGGGTAGAGAGAATCCCTTTTTATAAGCTTCCAACAAGATGACGGTTTTCTTGGCTTGCCTTTTCTTGTGACATTGAATATGAACCATTGATCTTGGGTGACTTGTGGGGTGAGAGATTTGAGTTATCCATTTTACAGATAAGCCATCAACATTATGAAAGGTGCTAAAACCTTTATCCCCTTTTTCTAAACCATTTTCCCATAAATAAAAATTAAATAAAATAATTTCAAATATAATATTGTGTATACCAAAGTAATGCACAAACATTTTCATACTTTCTAAAAAATCATTCAAAGCTTCCTCAAGTCAATACCTTTCCAAAACACATAGCAACTTGGCCTACAAGCCAAAGTTCACTTATCACAAACATAGAAAGTTTCTAAATGGGTGGGGCATGCCAACCATGAGAGGATCTCATAGGCCCTACCATCTAGGCTATGATGGGCTCATGTGTACAATGCCTCCATGCAATTTTAAATATTTTTAAAACTTAATAAATAATTTTATAATTTATTTGAATATTTAAATCAATATAAAATTAATATATCTGATTTTATAGATCAAAATTTGATAAATAAAATATTCAGAGATCTAAAAAAATTCAAATAATAATTCTAAAATCATATATATCATAAACCAAATATAATTACATTTATTAGATGAGAAAATGAGCCATATGGTCTAGGAATTAAATCAATCAAACACTGGGGCACTCCACGTTCAACTATGGACCACAGAGTGCACTTGCTTTATCAAACCGGCCCAATGTTTTCCATAACCCACAGTCCATGCAGGGTTCATTAGTGGGTCACCAAAGTTTGGCCGATGAGCCAAGGGATCGTAATCCCAGTCTGTAGATTTCAAGTTCTCCCCTAGAGATGGGCCGATGTCACTTAGACCCGATGGGACCACAGCTCCTATGACGCATAGAGGTATCTCTCGCATATGCATACGCTTCACCTTGAAAGATGGTTTGCTTTCCCGAAACAGTTTATCAATATGTATGCCGTGTTATGGTACATGGATGAAGCTTTGGCCCCTGTCTTTGAAGGCCACCATCATACACAAAGGTCACACAGTCCCTTGACTTACTCATCCGGGCATACTCCGATAAGGGATGACCCATTAGAACCCTTATATATTTTAATGCTATCACAAAGATCTCCAGTATTGAACCCACATTTCTTGTTACTATTTGAAGGTAAGCTCTAATTTGATTGTTTAGAGCCTAAGATCTATACAAACCACACCCTATTTTTAATGAGAAAAAATAACAAGATCTCAATGCACTAGAATTACTTTTCTCTTAGGGAGAGAAAGTAGATCATGAAAGCGTAACAATGTATAAAAAAAATTATGCCAAAAGAGAGATTCAAGCCCTTTTCATAGAGAGAGTCTATTGTAATGACTGTGAGATATAGCTCACTAGTGTAATATAGCACATCGTGATGCTATGTGCAATATGGCTTGGAGGGATGCGATTCGGCTTGCAACATAAACAAAGTGCTTTATGTTGCAAGCCGAATCGATATAAGTGTATAGTAAAAGAAAGCCTTTGCACAGGGTAGGCTCGAGGCTTGCTTTGTTTATGTTGCAAGGTGAATCGATATAAGTGTAGAAAGTGCAAAGGGTGCCTTGACATCGATATAAGTGTAGAAAGTGTAATCAAAGAGCAATGATCCAATGCAACGGTTGTATTATAATATGATGCAACGACACATCTAAAAAATTATGTTTGTGGTATTTGTATGACCTCAAATTTTGCACACTCTCTCTCTTCATCTCAATAATCAATTAAAAAAAAAAGAAGTTCATTTTGAACCCTAGATATGATCAAAATGAGCCCCATCCAAAAATGAATCTAGACCATTCATTTTGTGAATTTCAAGATCTTAGCCTTTACAAACTCAAAATCATTTTTTCCTTTTTTAACATTGTTCATCCAATGATAATAAAGCCATCCAAAAAAATTAAAAATTAAAAAAATCCTTCTAAGGCCTATATCTAAGCATCTCACCAAAATGAACAGCCTATGTTAATTGGGCTAAAAAATACTTTATAGATTGTGTTTTCAATTTTTTCTTTTTTTCTGATTGTTCGTTAAAATGAAAAGAGTGTATATTTCAAAATTTAAATCAAACAAATAGTCATAAAATGGTTTTTTAATGTTAGTGCATCATATTACTATACAAAGGTTACATGAAATCATTGCCAAATGGGGCTACCGCTATAGGGCAACGGAGCACATGCACATGCTTCGTGTGCTCCGTATTATCCTTCTCTTCGAGCATGGTAGAAGAAGGTATTCCCATATTTAAATTTGACTTTTCTCTTTTTCATTTCTTAGGCTAAAAACCAAGAACGTCTTTTTATAACTTTTATTTTCTAGAAGCTATAACTTTTAAAAATATATTATTTTAAAATAACAATTAGTATTTCCCCAAAACAAAACAACTACTAATTTGTAGGCTACGAGAGACAGAGAAAGAGAGCATAAAAAGTTTGCAGGTCATGAAAGGGAGCATTGATTATAAGTTTTGGAGATAGATGTCATGAAAGAGATGAGAGCATTGATAAAGAGAGAGCGAATTTGTGGATTAAAAGAGAGAAATTTAATATGTTTGGGTTGTTGAGCATTAGAAATCAGCCTCGAACATAGTATCCCAACCATGCACAACTAGCAATTTAGAAATAAATAAATAAATTTAAATAATATACTACATATTTTAGAAGTAAATAATATATAATTTTAAACTATCGACGTTTTAATGGTTAATATACATGTATGTATAAGCCCGCACCAAAGATTTATGGCTGTAAATAAGGTTCAAGGTAAGGCTTGAAATATGTTTGTGGCAAGCCCGGCCCGATTGGCTCGACCTTGCAAAACTAGGGCCTAGGCACGATTATGGTTTGAGGGCCAAGCCTACGCCCTATGTCCTTTATTATTTTTGTATCTTTTTAATCCTACACACCATGATTTGTGCCGGTTTTGAGCTTGGGTTAGGCTGGGTACAAAGAGCTTAATTAAGGTTTAGAAACATAGTGATTCTCGATCAATATCATCGATTTAGATAGGAATCGATGAGGACCAAAGCAATTCTAAGATGGTACGAGTCTTGCTTTATTTTTTTTTAGAGACCCTTTTATATATTATTTATCTTTTTTTTATAAGCTTATTAAGTGTTTTACGACTCCTCTATATCCCTACACTGAAGGTTTATTTTAATTTTATTTCTAATTTTTTGTTTTTTTATTCGAATGGATCTCCATACTTGATCCGAACCACCAATTCAACAATCCAACATGGATCTAATCCTTCCCTGTGATCCGGATATGGAAACACTACTCTCGACTTTAATGCCCTAGAGTTTCTCTCAAAAACTAAAGTTTTCCTTAGTGGAAAAAATAAAAAATTGAAATTATTGATTTAGGTTTTTTTTTTTTTTGGGGGTAAATGTGATCTAGGGTTTGGCCCACGCGTTTTCCTCCATGGGTTCTCTCCACGGAAGCTCTGAACCCCGCCATGAATGGCTTCAACGAAGCTCAAAACACTGAACGATCCTTTTACATTGCCATAGTTAAGATAGCAGTTTCTCAAATTTGTGAAGCCTCAGGCTTCGATTCTTCTCAAGACTCTGCCCTTGAAACCTTCTCAGACGTGGCCACAAGATACCTGGAAACCCTAGCTCGTTTCGCCCATTCTCATTCCAATTTATGTGGCAGGTCACAATGCAATATTTTTGACGCCATTAATGCGATTGAGGATATGAGTTCCCCTCTAGGGTTTTCTGGAGCTTCAGACTGTAATCGTTTAATTTTGAGCTCTGGAGTTGTTAAAGAAATCATGGATTATGTTAGTTTAGTTGAGGAGATCCCTTTTGCTAGGCGGATACCTCGAGACACCGGTCCTAGAGAGAGAAAGAGGAGCTACCGTAGTTTCATTCAATCAGGCAAAGAGTCACCTTTTAGGCATGTCCCTTTATGGCTCCCTGCTTTCCCTGATTCCCTCACTAGCAGAAGTAGTTCAGAGAGAGAGGGTAGATTTGGGGTTTCTGAAAAGGACTTTAACTGTAATTCTCTGATGATGACTGTTCACAGTGAAAGTCATAAGCTTGATTCTAAGGTTTCATCTGGTTCTAAGTTGATGAGAGAGAAAGGAATAGTTGGGGTTTCTGAACTGGGCTTTAATTGTGAACCTTTGCTGAATGTTCACTGTGAAAATCATAATCTTGATTGCAACATTTCATCTGGTTCTAAATTGAAGAGGGAGAATGGGATTTTGCCTTGTAAGAAGCCGATTGTTCGGTTTAAGCTTGGTTCTATGACTTCGACCAAGAATTTCATGTCTGGTTCTTCTAAATTGGAGCCTAGAGATTTGAGTTGCAGGGACAAAGGATTATGCTGGTTTCCATTTGAGCTGGAAAATGGGGTGAAGAGAATTAGAACAGATGATGCTTTTGAGGAAGCTCTTGAAGATGGATAGGAAAGTTAAAGTCAGCCTGGTTCGTTTTTTGTTTTCTCTTTTTTTTTCCGGAAGAGTCATGGCTTTGATGAATTTTGGTGTAACGTCGTCGCCATTCATGTTTGTTTCAATCATGATTTCAGAGATCTTCAATTGTAAATCGCATATTATGATTGTAATTTTGGAATATTTCATAAGATTGTTTCATGCAACTCTTGACTATATTTTCATGCCCATTGGACAAAAGGCCATTTTATATTTGCTTCTAAAGCTCTTTGGGCGGAAATCTTGTTTTATCCTGAATCTGAAGGTTTACTTTTGGCCTTTGCATCAGTCATGGCTTTACTGTTTTTCAATGCATTAACTCCGGTGAAGAAATCAACGAGTCTCCAAGTGGTGGTCCCAGTAAGGCTTAACACCGTTTATCAAGGTGCTTATGAATATATCATCTTGTTTCTCTCTATTTTTACTCTCTTGTGTCTTTCTTTGAATAGATTGAAATTTCTCCCTTGGTAACAGTTACCCAATGATCATGGCTTAACCACTTTGGCAGACATGGAACATAAATTTGTGCACTGTCTGACTTGGTGGTGTCAGTTATTGGTTTCAGAATGAATGTGAACTCTTCCACCACAGTTGAATTTTGATAATTGGTCTCCACTAGGTATATACTTCAGTATTGAGAGGCATCCTCATTATGTTATTGTCCTCTCATTAGAATTTGGTAGCGGTGTTCACTTTGTTTTTTCCAATAGGTTCCACCAGATGTGAAGTGCCTGGATGTTGGAGTTATTTGACATAGGAATTTGGCACTTATCACCATGCGTCGTGTTCCAAGTGATGATTGTAAATTGATTGAGCACCAATTTATAGCAGTGGAAAAACTGTCAGGTTTATTCACTACCTAGTTGAATGTATTGGTATCTTGTAATTCTAATGGATAGCAATTGAGTACACTTAAGAGCTTGTGTTGTTTGGTGCTGTCCTTTACTACATTACAAGCTGGAAGAGATTCCATCCATGTGAGTTGCAATGCTACTTCATGTGCAGTTTCAAGTGGTCATGGGTTTCAATTTTAAATATACATAAATCGTTGGTTGAGATTGATTGAACCTGATTAGTACAGCACTCCAGCAAAGAATCATGGCGTTGTCATATGAAATTTGTAACTTTTTCATCAAATAGAATGTTAAAAAACTCTTTCATCCAAAAACTGTTTCATTCAACAAATTCTTTTCTAATACTTCTTGATTGATATATTTTACTACATCATTCGTGTCTTGGATATGTTGAAATACATGATGAACAGTCGCTGCAGAGATGCCTTTATTCTGTTTATCATATGTCTCACATCCTAAAATAAGCTCATCCATGAACTGGGCCATATAAAATTGTGTTGAAATTATCTTTTGTTTGAGTACTAAATCATTACTTCTCTAATAAAAATATATTGTTCAAAATATTTTGACATTTTGCTGTGCCAAATATAAGTTTGGTTTCATGAACTGAAGCACTAAAACTCACTTCCTACCTCATTTTAACTATAGTTCTAGGGCAGTGGACCGTCTCCTTGTGATGTTGTTGCTTCCCAATTTGATGAGTCTACACAAACATAATTCACTTTCGTCATGGCAGAATAATAATAAAGTCGGACACACCAAATTCACTAGGAAGTCAAACCGAATAATGAAAACAAATCTCCAGTCATCAGTCAAGCAGCCAGTAATTGATAGTCATTTAAATGTTGCTTTGCAGGATCTGTGAACAACTTTGTTGTTACCACCACACTACAACCTATATGTTTGCTGCATATTCTCAGAGCACACAATTAGTGGTCTTAGCAAATCGTTGGTCCTCTGAGGTGGGAAACAGACTCTAACTAGAAAAAAAAAAAAAAAAGCGACAAAGGCAAGCATAATTAAGTTGTTTTCTGATTAAGCATTGAAAAGACCTGCTAAAGAAGTGAATTGCAGTAACATCTTTAGCAGACGCTTAGGGAACTGTAGACTAAAGAAGCATGATGCTAGTTGTCCCTAAAATGTGTGCTCTTTGCATTCGACTACATCATCCTTTCTTGGGGCATAAGGATTTGCATATTGATGAAGCATACCATTTTTCAAACTTGTATATGAATATTCTCCACAAAAAGCGGATTGGATTTTGATGTATTTTTTATGGAATTTCCATATTTAATTCATTCCTTTCTCAAACAGTAACAATTCCATCTTACTATGATATACAGCGTTTGCACATTACTCGCCATATAACGATGCTGCTGCGCAAGCGCTGGCAGTTTTTGTTTTCTCATATGAATTGCTCATACAATAGTCTAGAACACTGAATTTTAGTCCTAGCAACACCACTAGAATCTTGGCATTGACATGTCTAGACTAGCAGTGAAGCAGACTATCATTCTATAAATCTTGATGATGGACCATCTAGCTGACTACATCAAGAGAACATGTAAGCTCATCATCTCCTTCTCAATTTAGGTACGCGTTGATTTTTTCTTGTGTTGATTTCTTAGCTACATGAATGTTGTTTTTCTTCTGATCTCAAACCAAACTTTTATAAAGAAGCCAGAGGTTCCTGTCATACATTTTGTTTGTTGAGGAGATAAGAGAGATACCTAAAAAGACAAAGATAAAGAGTCGTAGAACTCCTACAAGTTTTATAGACTATTTCAAGGTTCATGAGCAAAGCAAAGGTAAGGCGTAGAATGGTTGACGATGTGATCATTTTGACATCATTCTCTTGGGCACAATCGTATATGAGCAAGGAAAACTTCTAACTATCAAACTTCATATTGTATTTTATATGCTCAGCATCAACTTACATAATCTTAAGGATCACACTTTTCATTTAGGAGCTTCGCTTACATGGATTTGATCCCCATGGCCCTAAGAGGAGACCTCTTGAAAACATATAGGTTGCAAGTAGCAATGTCTGAAGACTAGAGAGCTCGATTGAAGCAGAAGGAAAAAAAAGCAGTGCGTGGACCAAGTACATAAAATGCAGTGCGTGGACCAAGTACATAAAATGCATGTTCTTGGACATAAAGATTTGCTAGTGCCATGTTATCTGAATAAGATCTAGAATGACAGATTATCTGACCATTAGATACTTCATCATCATCCATCCAAACATTATTTCAATTATTTGGGGTCGACTACATGAATCATGTAATTCCATTCTTCTCTATCAGTGGTCATATCCTCACTAGTTCTGTCCATGTCCTATTAGCCTTTTCACTTGCCCTTTTAGAGCCTTCCGCTTGAACCATATCGCACCACCTAATTGGTCTGAATGGAATAGTCTTCATCTCAGCCTATTGCCGCTTGACCAACATTTGTTCATCACCTTTGGCAAAAGTAGAGGGCTTAAGAATATGTTTTCATTCCTCTCTTGTGGGACATACATGTTGTGCATTTTAATTCTGTGCCTTATTTCCCATTATGAAGGCTTTCTAGATTTCCCTTGATTGTTTCTTTGGAGCCCTGCCTCGCTTGATGCTCATACTCTTGAGAACCTGGGATAGATCATGTCCACTGTTATTTCTAAAAAGGAAGATCATGTCCACCGTTTTCATGTGTACATTGGATTTGTCAATTTTCGGTTTTAGGTTATATATATATATATATAT